AAGTATCTGAGCTTGAGCTTCAGTATCAATCCTTCCAATGAGCAATCAGGGTTGATTTCCTTTAAGATTGACTGGTTTGACCTCCTAGCAGTCCAGGGGACTCTTAAGAACTGTAATTACATATGCAAATATGGTGCATTGAGATTTCAGATATAGATTAAAGACACAGTAAGAATTATCCAAATGAGGGGAGGAATATTGAGATTTTACTATAAGCTACATGGCTGATGTATTTACAAATTGCTGGAAGAATAAAAAGTGATCTTGGGAAAGATGGGCTTTAAGAAAGATGGCAGAATTTGAAACCCTTTTACAGAATGAAGACCATCTATTATGATGTATACATATAAACTGTTATTAGAATATGACACAGAGACATAACAAGCCAAAACTTGTATGATAAAGTGGGTGCAAAATTTTAAAGAAACAATAACAGTACAACAATGGGAAGTATAATGGAAAAAATCAGCAAAATTTACTGCAAGTTATAACCTAAGGAAAAAATGGTATAAAGTGTTTTACAGATGGTACATAACTCTATCAATAACTACAAAAGCAGATAAATCATAAAACAGAACATGTTGGAAATGCCATAAGGAAGGAACATTTTATCATATGTAGTGGTTATGTACAAAAAGTTAAAAGTACTAGAAAGAAGTACATAGCATTATATAAAAATATTCTAAAAATAAAATTTGAACTAAAACCTCAAATGTTTCTACTATGAGTTGTGCCAGAAGATATAAACAAGAAATACCACATTTTTAAAAGATACATGTAGATGACGGCAAGGACAAATCTGGCACAACATTGGAAAAGGGACAATTTACTGCTGGTACCAGGTTGGAAAACCAAATTTGGAGAACGTGCAGCAATAGCAAAACTGATGTTACATATATTCACAACAGAAGCTTAATTAAATTCAAGCAAGAATGGCTCCTGTATATATCATATCTCATACAACAAGGCAAGACATTTAGAGTAGGACTTCTAAGGAGGGGGGAAAAAAGATGAAAGGATCCAAACAAGATGAAGTCAGAAATACTCCCGATATATGTATTCCAATTAATAGTCAGGGTACAATGGGAGATAGATTAGAAGGTATCTAATATCTTCATTACATTATCACAGTATAAACGTAAAGTAAATAAATGCATTTCAATATCATGTTAATGAACTCCCCCATGAACTCCAGTGTTAATGATAAGCAGTTTGGTATGTCTACATTTTCTCCCACTTGAGTTGAAAAGATGTTTGCTTTAGCGCTCACCATTTTTCTGCCAGGTCATCAACTAATTGGTACCTGCAGAAAAGCCCCTCATCAGTTCTTGCTGCCCTGTGTTTCTCAGCCTGAGTTCCACTTGCAGCCTATGCCATGTTTACTGTTTTCCTGTTCTGATCTGTGTGTGCTTCTTTTGCCCTCTCTAGTAACGAAGGTGGTGTGCGCGGAGCAGTGTGATGGCCGATGCTACGGGCGTTCTGTCAGCGAATGCTGTCATCGAGAATGTGCGGGAGGCTGTTCCGGACCCAAAGACACAGACTGCTTTGTAGGTTTCAGATGTCTTTCTTTCATCCTATGTTGCTCATTCTGGTATTTTATTCCAAGACATTTGTAAACATGGTTTGGACTTTAATTATACTGCACTGCATATCTGGTGAAAGATATCCACCAGACAAGTTAGCATTCATATTTTCCCATTACATTCCTGTTACTTATCAACTTATTTCGTCCATTAAAACATTTATGAGATTTGCAACTAGAGATTTGGAGCCATTTATATGCTAATTGGTGAGAATTTCATCTTAAGTGAAAATGCATTATTTACTTGCCTAAAGTTAACAGTTACAGATGTGAGGAATTCATTCAGACCTTTGATTTTAAACAAAACAAAACATACACATAATGCACACATCAGAAAATAACTTCCATCAAGTCTCCATAAGAATAACCCATAACTTCCATTTCTTATTTGGTGGACTGTCTTCTGTCTGAGACAGCTGCTGATTGCAGCCCAAAGATACCAAGAGTGAAGCTCTGCTGTACTTGCATCCATGCTTCAGACCCTTGGGCTCATTAGGGCAAACATTATGTGGTGGGGACAGCAACCCTTTTCTCAAGCTATGAAAAGGATCACACTGCCATACATCAGAAATGTCTCAAAAACCACGAACAGACTATTACAACCACATGGCATCTC